CATTTCATGCTTTAGCTGTAATAAAACTTGCGGACACTGGTTTTAAATGATTTATCACCTTGTCTTTGTTCTGAACCAGCTATAAATTGTCACCCAGGTGAGAGTTCAGACCTTATTTCATGCTCTACGTTTGTGTGAGATGGTGAAGTTTGACGTCTGAAAAACACTCTTTGTTTCTGTCGGCTCGTTCTAATCTCYGGGGACTTGGATCATTGTCAGTATGAATATGGATTCTGATCACCGGTTGTTTATTTTAGCGTCTGTGTTGTGTGAGAGATTCATTATTATGTGCTTAAAAAAAACAAAAGTAGGTCACCGAGTGACAGCTCAAACTCCCCCTCTTTAAATCGTTAGAACATCTGATTAGAAGCACCAACGTTGAAGTCGATACACGTGCCAGACTTTTAATTTTTAATTTCCGAGGGCATTCAAACACTTCTTTGGAGGCTAAAAGGTGTTTGTTTTTTCCCTCTTACTGTGACAGGAGGAACATTTGTAGCAGACAGCCTTTCAACACCAGACTGCCATTATGTATTCAATGTCAAACTCACAGCACTCCTTCAGCTTTCTGAGCACACTCCAGAGACGTGTGAAAGTGCTGCTGGGTTCTGATGTCGACTGCCACGTCTACAAATCTGTGTCGTGATTAATGTTTTCATTTAAGGCTTCTTAAAAATGGGGTTTAGGACTATTTCAAAGGGATTCGGAGCAGCCAGCAGTTGGTGAAAACATCTGTCGTGTTGTTTTTTTTTTTTCAAAGTCAGATCTGAAACTGCAATAAGCAGATAAAATGTCAAAGTGTCCTTAGCTACAGCTTTTTTTAAAATGTGATTCAAGATACTACTGACAGCCATTATTATTGATAACTTTTCCTCCCCTTCTTGTGCTTTCTGCCTCAGAGCCAAAAAGGAGTTTTTACACCTTTTTATTTGCAGCTGACACGTACAGACAGCATGTGCTAATGCCAGAGAYGGTACGCTAAGCTGCGCACTGATCGCACCTTGGCTTGTTACTCAGGACCTGTTAATTCCTCTGTGAGTTTACGCTCTCAGTTCATCATATTCCTAAATAATGCTACCAACGAACAGTATCTAGCTGCAAACYTGCTTGTTTCCATGATCCCACTTACATCAAAGATCTTAACTTAGGTATTAATAATAATACAAGAAATGGTCGTATCAAAACCATTGGTCTTATTTAAAAAAAGATTAAAAGGAATGTAGTAGCTTAGGTTAATATTAGTCAAATTATTGKAGTCATCTTTTGCCACGGCTTTGCACAGGTGTCATGGCCGTGTCGAGRCCATCTTCCTTCCACCAATCGGACCCATAAATTGAGCCCATCTCGAGCTAGAAGTGGGTAAGATTACCCAATTGAAAGATTCTCAACAAAGATGATACACCAAAATGAAAATATCAGCCCATATCGATATTTGATATTACTATTGGTGTTAAGGCCAATAACCGATATTTATCGATATTACACAAACACACACATTATTTATACGCACAAACACATTTGTGTCTTTTTTCGATACCTTAAAAAATTGACCATACCCCTGACATGGCTCTCTGCTTCAGTTATTCCTGCCAGCGATCAAACAGATACCATTCAACCAACYATTTCCCCTCCCAWTACAGAAACACAAAGCTAAAAAATGGTTAAATCAATTTCGGACGTTAATATTGGCCCAGTTTTTCTTACCRAAMTGATACGATATTCTAAAAAATGACTAACATTGGCCGATACCAATGTTGATGCCAATGCTGTATATCGTGCATCCCTACTCTGAACCCATGCAAGAGATTTGAAGCCTATATARTATCCAGTGATGGACACAGTTGTGCTAAAACGCTAATAGAGGAACAGATTATTTGTTTAGCCCTTTAGCATTTTTGCTAACTTTGAAAACGTTYAGCACACTTAGCTAAATTATTTGTTCCACTAAAATTCTAAATATGCTACTATACCTGGCTGTTTTGTAAATTTTCAGTTTGAAGCTCATCAAGTTAGCTTTAACTTCAACTAATATTTTCATCAGCTTAGTGTTAGCGAAGCTAAGATTCTTGTTTAGCGGTTTAGTGKTTAGTGAAGCTAACTTTTTGGTGAGCTGAGCCCATCACTGATAATATATATGAGGAAATGTCCTTTTAAA